GGCGTCGGTGGCCGCAAAAGTTTAGGCGTTGACACGGCGCTCATCACTGTAAGGTAAAGGTCCCGGGTTCGAATCAAGCGGCCCTGCATTCGAATCCGACATACAAATGGGCTTATTTTTCAAAAGCTGGTGCTTTCGAACCCCGAGGATTGATACGACCTCTGTTGCGAACCCTCGTAAAAAAAAGTTCATGTCACAAGCCAACACATGCTGGCGAAATCTCGATTCTGACAAAAAATGGATCCTCATCGTTTTTCCACTGCTCCCTTCAATTGATTTTGCAAGTTTAAAGAGGCTTCGTTGCCTATGCTTCTATGGTTGATAATTCTGCTTGAAGATAGAGAGATAGATGTGTGGTGGATCAGAGGTCCATGTGATGTTAGTTAGGCCCATTATACCAAATCCCGAGGCAGTTCCCATTTGGATACCATAGACCAGTTCCAGTGTTTGCTCTTCCGAACGACATATTCTAAAATAACACACAGGCTAACCACCGGCGTCAAATCAGCGTTGATTCCATTGATTTTCCATAGGAAATACTTGGTTTTTATAGTTTTGAATTCAATTCTAATAAGAACTTAATTACTCAGCCTAAAGTATGTAAAAAGCATGAATATAATAAATAGGTAAATAAAAAAAATCATGCAGTAATTTTCAAGAAATCGTAAGACTTGCAAAGTGTCAAATCACCACCATGAGTATGATGTGCCGAAATTCATAAATTAAATTTTTTTTTCTTAAGCGTTCCGAGAGGCGTCTTGAAGAAAATAAATTAAGAATTAGATAATAAGACAGTATATAGTTGTCTAAGAAGAAGTTGATGACAACGGGTGGGGAAATGCGAGGTTGATGAAGCCACAGGTGGCGGCAGGAGTACGCAGGTTCGGGAATCAACCGTTCGGCCCTCTCTTCCTCTTCAGTATACCTCCAACTGACACTCATGACACTATAGCAAGTGAGTACACAAGCCTTTAAACGAAATCAACTAAAAGCCAGGCCATCATTGAATTTGAGGCTTGATTTACACGTTCGTATATACAATTATTTTTAATAACCAACACAATTTTTTTTAATGTCGTCAATAAATTTATAAAAGTTTAAAGTATAAGGAAAAATTGTATTATATCATTTTTAAAGTATCATTATAATTTTTGATATGTCTGAAATCGAAATTGTCCCAAAAGAAATTTTTTATTTATAACATTTCTCTTAGAACACGAAAAAGCCAACAAAATATCGCCATAAAAATGCGATGGTAATAAATAAAAAAATAACCCATAGTCACAAAAAAGTTATTTAAATGTAATAAAATGTTTAGCTTGTCCAATCATTTTAATATAAATCTACGGTTCAATTTCTTTATTTTTATTATATGACGTACTGGAAAGATATACACATACTTTATCTATAGCATTGATGGTCAAAACATATTACATTCTACATTGAGATTATTTATAAATTAATTATTCAACAAAAATGTTGATTAGTTTAATAAGTTATTGGAATTAGAAATATCTGAAATCAAAGAAAAAAATAAAAAGAAGAGTAGAAATAAAGAAAGAATTTGATATAAGCAATTTTGATCCTCTTTGATGTTCCTTTTCATTTTTCTTATTTACAATTATGGATTAGTTATACAGTAACTTTTTTTATGTTAAATCAAAATCGAATGGGCAAAATGCCTGCAAACTTTCTACATTATTTAGGTTTGCACGAAGTTCATCGTCATTAAAATAATTCGTACGTTGATGGCTCAGTTTCATCTCGCTTCTTTCATACTCCAAAGAAATTTAACAGTAAAAGTTATTGTTAAGAAATTTATAATTGGTACATAGATTTTACAATTTATATTGATTGAAAATACCAAAAAAATAAAAAATAGAGAAAAACGAAAAGAAGAAAGAGGATAATTTGGATCAAGATCAAGAAGAGTGCAGAAGTTGCAGGGATTATGTTCGTTGATGGCTCAGTTTCATCTCGCTTCTTTCATACTTGGTAGCAATTTAGCTATAAAAATTGTTTAAAAAAACAGTAAGTGGTTTTATATAATTTAAGAATCGATATAACAATGATTATGGTCAAACATGTTATCGCTGTAGGATCTAAAATAATTTATAAATTAAATATTAAACAAATGACCCAAGTAGTTCTAAGCAAATAAAGAGAGAAAAACGAAAAGAAAGAAGATGATAATTTTCACCAAGATCAGAAAGATTATAAAAATTTCATTGATTATATTCGTTGATGGCTCCGTTTCATTTCGCTTCTTTCATACTTAATAGCAATTTAGCGGTAAAAGTTGTTTAAAAAATCAGTAAGTGGTTTTATATAATTTAAGAATCGATATAACAATGATTATGGTCAAACATGTTATCACTGTAGTATCTAGAATAATTTATAAATTAAATATTAAACAAATGACCCAAGTAGATCTAAGCAAATAAAGAGAGAAAAAAGTATAGAAAAAAAGATGTTTACTTGAACCAAGATCAGAAGGATTACAAAAATTTTATTGATCATATTCGTTGATGGCTCAGTTTCATCTCGCTTCTTTCATACTGATAGCAATTTAGCAGTAAAAGTTACCTAAAAAAATAATAAATGGTTCTATAAATTTTAAGAATTCATATAACAATGATTGAAGTCAAACATATTACTATAGTAGTTAAAATAATTTATAAATTAAATATAAAACAAAAATATCTAAAAAAAGAAAAAAGAAAGAAAAAAGAAAAGAAGGAAAAGGACAATTTAGACCAAGATTATCTTAAATCTATTATCTAAACTAGCAATTTAGTTGTAAAAGTTTTAAAAAAAATCAGTTAGTGGTTAAAATAATTTGTAAATTAAAGATTAAACAAAAAACGCCAGAAGGTTTGATAATTTATATTGATTGAAATAATTGAAATTTAAGAGAAAAAAATAACATGATAATATGAACCGAGATCAGGATTGCAAGATTGCAGAGATTTCATTGTTTATGTTCCATAATGGCTCAGTTTCATCTCGCTTCTTTTACGTTAATAATCATAATAATAATGGGATGTTTGGGGCCGAAAGACATCTGAGGTTATCACCGGCCCTCTGCGTGTTTTTACTTCTTTTTCTGGTCTTTCACGTATATTTTTCAACCTGCAGCCATTTGAGCTCTCAGTCTGTTACTGACTCTGCTTTTATACTAAGTCGATATCCTAAAATGCTAGCCTCGCATTTGTATCACAGGTTATTAACTACACAATAGAAATATAGCATAGAACATATATAACGTCCATACTTCACAAGAGCCTCATCCCGGCGACAAAATTCTTCCCAATTTCCTCAAACCCTTTTGTCGAGTGGTTTGTTCAAATTAGAAAATTATGCCAAATGAGAAAAAGCCGAATGTGATGTACATCATGTAATAAAATTTAGAACAAGTTGAGCACGAACTACCACTCGGCTTTTCAAAGTGCCCTGTATATAATTTTTTTAGTGGGTCTTTTATTTAGTCTGATTTTCTTCCTAAGGCGCCTATAGTATTTCAATAAAACCTTATCGTTGACAAAAAAAAATTAGACATATTTTTGAAAATAAATTAAATACTTCTGATAGCGGTGAACAAAGGAAGAACTCTTTTGATGAAGAGATCAAAATTTGTTTTCGAAGCGTTGATAATCCTGTAAAGAGGTTAAATAACAAATAACCCATAACATCCAAGAAAATTATTTTAGGTGAAATTTACTCTATAAACTATCGACCTAAAATATAAATAAAAAAAATTCTTGATTCATAAATATAAGATTTATTCTCGCCCATGTACCTCTCACCCGAGGAGAAGCGATTCAATCACCACAAAACCCATAGAAATTTGGAGAAATTGAGACAAATTCTGAAAGGAGAATTTGCACGAATTGACTTTTTTAAATATTCAGTTTTAGTTGTTCAAACTGCTAAAAACAGTTGGCAAAGGAGGTCCAAAGAAGAGGGCGAGTATGGAAGCACCTCGTGGGCGAGCATTATCATACATCAGTACAGATACTTTTTGATTTGCTGCTTGTGTTTTCCGTAAGGTGTTACATTAGTATGTCAACAAATACGGGGGCAGGAGTATTCGGCCCTGAAACCAAATCCTGGACAGTATGGTTGGGTATGTATAACAGAGCATTGAAGAATTTTGGATGTGCCTTATTGAGACGATAAAAGAAATATGTAATCTTTTATGGTTTGATAATGTCAATTTGGATCTTTTTTCTCCATTGCACGTCTGACTTTGCTGTCTGTTCGTTTTACTTGGGTATATGGGTTGAAACTCTAGATGTAGTACAAGGTGTACAGTATTTGCTGAATATATTTTTGATAGTTTTGATAGGTGACAGAAAAGGTTTAGCGAGTAAGAACAAAAACTATATATGGGATTTTTGCTAGTTACGATATTTCGAACCTGGGTTCTTGAGTATGAAGATAGCTTTTAAGAATTCGGGTGGCAGTAATCGGATCAGTATTGGTAGAAAGGATTGTTATAAAAATAATGATGGGTGTTCAGGGACATTCACTGTGTAAATTGTACAGAGTAAAGGATCAAGAATGCTTCCCTGGGAAACTCCAGCTAAAATAGTACACATAGAAGAAGAAGTATAAAATAATAATAACATAACAATAATAAAATATAAAGAACTTTGAAAATATTTGGGGATAAGGTGTGTGAACGACGGAATCTTTCCTCAGCCGGAACTCTTCCGCGCAGTATTCCTTTATTATTCTTACTAACTATTTATTAGTTATCAAAACAAGTTTTTTATTTAATGCAGAGATGAAAAATTATTGTCACGAGCGGGATTCGAACTCACAAGCCTCGCGCTTCTACCACTAATTTTTCATTTCAGCCTTCTCTATATCAAAATAGAATTAATGCACAAAAGAGATAGCGATGGTGCCGACAACACGGACAGTTTTTGCGACTTTTTTCTTCCGTCTCTGCCAAAATCGTACTTTCTCGTATTTATTTATAATTTTTGTTTCAGATGACAGACACACAGCCGGAGGAGGAGGATGACGGAGGGGGAAGTACAATTGGAGTGGTAATGCCGACCAGAGACACATGGTCGAAAAAAGTAGAATTTATTCTTGCTGTCGTCGGTTTCGCCGTGGACCTTGGAAACGTCTGGCGGTTTCCTTATATCTGTTATCAGAATGGCGGAGGTGAGTTTCAAGTTGAAAACAGGAGAAAAAAATCTTACAAGTCGAAAAGCCTTAGGGAGAAACGATCGAAACTCGACACCATCTAGAATTAAGTCAGAGGAAAGATTATTCTAAAACGAGCCTTGTTTTATTTTTTGTTTATCTATGGAGAGAAGGTGCTAAGTCTTGAGAGGGGCAAAGTTTTTTCTGACTTCTTTTCTCAGAGAATCAAGTTAGTTCTACAAACTTTACTTGTTCCATGTTAACTATCAATAATTACTGTTGTAGAAAGAGAAAGAATTTTTTAAAAATTGGTGTATCTTACGACTGACAACAAAATCGTCCTTTAAATAAACTCTTACATTTACAATTGACATTTTAATATATTATATTGTACACTCAAAGAAAAAACTCTACATTTGTATTTTGTAGTTTATTTCAAAGTATTTGTATTTTTATCGTTATATTAATTACAAAATATTTATTTTAATATAAAGCATATTAAATGAGATCAGAAATTCATGAGTTTTAATGAAAATTATTTAATTATGTCGGTTTGAATAAAATTACCAAAACACTAGAAAATCATTTAGTGATAGATTAAAATTTAACTAACAAATTTATTACCTGGTTTTCCTCTTAATAACGCGTATTACCTCCTCTGGCTTCGCGGAGGGGCTTAAATCTTCTTGGCATCAAGTAAAGAAGTAATCGTATTTCGTCTTGTGAAACATTTTTGAACAAGAGTGGTTTGAAGTTGTTCAACGGTTGTTGGTGGATGTAACCTAAATTTTGTACAAGAGCAAAGCAGTTCATTGTGGTAATCCGTGCACTCTTCAAGTAATTGATGACAACTCCGGCTACATGCAGTCGAGCAGTATCATGCAATATCACGAAGTTGTCCCTAATAAACGGACGGAATGGGACCACAGCAGTGGTGAACATCGTTAATAGAAATGATAAATGATGGAGTGAGTGTGGTGTTCAATCNTAATAATATTAAGTATTTACTAGTATAATATTTATTTGTGTTATAATTTCCGCGTTTCGCACATTCAATTTGAGCGCCATTAAAAAATCAGCTGCTAATTGGAACGTCGCGTTGGCGGAGGTATCAGCGGGTTCACTTTGGCAATTCATGTCGAGAGACGTGGTTGTAGAAGTCCTTCAACCTGATGATGAGCTAAAAGGCTCGAAATCCGGATCGTTGCAAAACAACTTACTGTGAGTAGGAACTATCTTTTTAAAAAGGATTGAACATCCTCAATGTACCTTAGTGCAGTCAAAGATTCTGTTTGATAATCAGTTCGGTAAAGGGTTGATTCTACCCCATACCATAACTGACTTCTTCAAAAAGGTTGTGACGCATGGTACAAGAAGCAAAGCGTTCTCCGCGTCTTCTCTATACATGGTCTCAGTCATCTGATTGCGACTAACCTAACCGGCACTCATCTGAGAAGAGAACAGCCCCCATTGTTCAAGCGTCCAAGCCTGATTTTGATTTGCGAATAGTCGCCTTTCTACCGAAAGTCTGTCCAGTTGAGAACCCTCTAGACTAGACTCTCACGAAGCCTTCTGATGTCTGTTTTAGAGTTTACCTTTAGTTACGGACCATTTTGAGTTGACTACCTATCAAGGGATCCGCTATATGACGCTAAGAGCAATAAAACAATCGTCTCTAGTGTCGTACATCGCTGTCGATCAACACCTTCTCTTCGATCCAGACTTCCAATTGCCTTTAACCGCCATACACCATCTTTGATGGTACAGCGCGGTACACCCAGGTCTTGGGTTATGTAATCACACTACGTCCGTCGTTGACGAAAGTATCTGTCTGGGCTAGGACTTCTCCACTTAAATCATGATTTTAAGAAAAGAAAACTGAATTATTAATTTTTTAATAAAATTAATCGTTCTGCCAAAGAAAGCAATTTAAATACCCAATTATCTCGCTGGATAATTTGGCTCTGAAAAGGATTTTGATTTTCTTTATTGTTCAACTTAAGAGTGTAAAAGAATTAGTTGTATAAATGTAAAAAACAAGTTATGTTGTATTTAGGTTTTAAGTCAACTATTAATCCATTGTATTTCGTGCCCTGATTGACCAAATAACTTCTTTAATTAATCTTTTTATAAGGTTTTAGTTGAAATGCAAAAAGTTAGTGTCACAAGCGGGATTCGAACGTCCTTCGGCTCAATACGCTGCTGCTCTAACCACTTGTCAACAAAACACCGAAGGTCGTTGGTTCGAATCCCGCTCGTGACACTAACTTTTTCATTTCAACCAATACCTTATATAAAGATTAATTAATTGAATCAACTATTAATCTTTATTCATAGTTATTACGGATAATAAACAAATAAATATAAGTGTCCATTTGTTTGGTCTTTGAGTGTAGTTTTATTATTTATTTCCCATTTTTATCTACTAATATGTATCTCATTTTAGAAAGTGGTACACGCTTTTAATTTTTATCTACTTTACATACTTCACCAAACTTACTCAATTCTTAAATCAACAAGATATAACAAAACATGTACATTCGTAGGAAAATATTGACAAATCAACTTCTCTGAACATAATTAAGTTATTTTAAGGTTTGTTAATGATTAAGAAATTACAATATTACACTTCAGTTCAATTTCATCAATTGAATTAAGATTAAAATACCATGCAGATTACAAACATAAATAGAAAAAAGACATATTTTGAAAAATGAAGTTGTGCTTATTTAATTCTGAGTAGCTTTTTAAGTTATTCTATGATGTGCATTCAGAACAGTAAACTGTTTAGTTTAAGAAAAATTAATGTTGCTTTTATTAAGAAGCAATTTGAAAACTTGGTTTTACATTGAATTTCGACCATATCTCTGAACATAAATAATCATAAACAAACAAATATGTACAAATTAACAAAAGTTAAACCTGAGGAACTGTTTTATTTTATTTATTTATTTTATGATATTCCATGAACAGAAACCGGTTTCGGTACTATGCAAACTGTATAATACGAGAACATGGCGTTAACATGGAATCATGTTGTTATTTTTGCGCTTGCTACTTGCTAAAGTTTAATTGTTAAATCGAGTTCTGATTGTGAACCTCCCAACTTATGTAGTCGGTGCTCCCCTAAGGGATATTAACCGGTGAATGCAAATTGTGGATTTACTTCAACCATTTCACACGCCAGTACAAAGTTACATGTCTAACTCTGTATCTGTGATTCGGGAAATTCTATCAGTCTTAAGTGGATAAGCCACAGGTATTAATGAATTCCCTGTTTCAACTCTTCTTATCTTGTAATTTTTGTTCTAAACTAACAAAATACCCTAGGGCCTAGGGGTAAATAAAGTGATGTCCGATCATTAAGTTTTCCTTTCATGTTGCCATTTATTTGGATAGTTTTTAGTTTTTCTAGTAAAGAAAACGATCAACAAAACAATAAACAAAATTACGTTAAATTAAAAGAAACACACACACTAATTAATCTAAGTTGTAATTAAAACAGCGCTGAAGAACACGAACACCATGAAAAAACTACTAATTGTACGATAAAATCGCAAATCGTCAAAATAAACCCACATGATAAAAATAGCATATATGCTGTAATATGTAACTGCGGAGGCAAATACATCAGACAGACAACCTCCAGTTGAAATGTGGAATGGTGTTGAAAAAGATTCCAAAGTTGGACAAATTGAAGAAAAACAGTGGATAAACTGTGAAGTTGACACCAAATTTTAACAGTTGGTGAGATCGTGGAGGCATCTCATTAACCAGGTGAACCTAGTTAGTTCTACTTGGTTCATAGAGATAGTTATGAGGACGTGCCTGAGCATAAGTTGTTAAACCATTAAACCAACAGAAAAAGATGATGGTGGATTTTGAAAAGAAGGAAGACATGCCAGTGACCTAATAAATTTAGACGTTTAGGAGATCGCGCGGCGAGGAAACGTGTGTCTACATAAAACAAAGATAAAAACTATGTTGTACTATAAACGTAACTATACGTACATACATGAATAAACTTTCGTGTGTATTTTTTAAGTTTCGTTGTTGTGATTCGATTCTGATAAAATCACAAGTTTCCGAATTATCGGGCCTTTCCTTCATCCGGACGATAAAGACGAAAAAAAAAGACGGCTAGAAAAACACATAAGATCTTTTACAGACGGCAAATCAAACTACGTCACTCACCTTATACAAAACCATCACGAACCCTTAACGATAAAGACTAGCTTGAAAGTACCACACGACGTGGAAAAAGGGTGAAAAATGAACATAATAGAAAATTCATTATATTTCGTGGTCCGATTGACCAAATAACATCTCTTAATTAATTAATATTTATGTAAGGTATGGGTTGAGATAAAAAAGTCAGTGTCACGAGCGGTATTCGAACCCACGACCTTCGGCTAAATACGCAGCTGCTCTACCACTTGAGCTATCGTGACTTCGATCTACTCGGACACCAACCTCCCATCTCAAACCAACCAACCTTTCGAATTTTTTCTCCTTTTTGCCATTTTTCAAATGTCGTGTAATCTATTTGATTCTCGGTGACAAATGAAATGGCCACGGAGAGCTTTAGTGAAGATATGAATGAATGAATAAAAAAGTACTTTATTAGATAAACAAAAAGAGAGTAAAAAAAAATTGTACATAACCAAACAGCACATAACGGCAATGGTTATCAACCGTCTGCCGGAGCGGACTATAAATTTTTAATAAACAAGGAACACATTTCTTCTTAAGGAATAAACAAAAGAGAGAAAAAAAACTAAACACGTAAACTAAAATAACAACATATCTATTTATGCACATATAAATAACCAGGGTGTCTCTGATATATACAGTAAACATTTAATAATTGAAATAAACAACAAGCGTTTTCCTGTAGTTCAAGGCTTCCATCGCAAACTTTACTAGGTTTAAAGACTCGGGGTTATTTAATAAAGAGATTAGGTGATCTCTCGTCAACGTGGGCAAGCCTATATGCCGTGCTCGGAATTCCGCTAAAACTGGGCATTCTGCTAGAAAATGAAAACTATCTTCCCGAGCCTGCCTGCTGCAGAGAGAGCACTTATCGGACCTATTGACTCTTGTGGGGTTATAATTAAGGTAAAGTAACCCGCACCTAATTTTAAAAAACCAGCGAGCTAGCGGAATGGACGGAATTTTAGAATTTTGCGCTATGTTCAAGAAAGGTTGACTGTTATTATGGTCCTTATACAGCAAAAACCTAGAGGAATTTTGAGCATGAAGGAGACATTTCACTGTGTGAGAAGTGCGGATATTGTTAATTTTGAGTGTAAAAGTGGCCACTCTTTGAAGTTGTCCAGGGAAAAATTGTCATTCAGCTGAAATTGTTGAGCCAAGTTATTCCAAGAAGAGAACCATGATATTTTGGACCTTATGATTTCCAGCGCTGTATTCTTAGGAAGGCGGTAGTTAGGAAGGTTTAGGACCCTGCAGACATAGAAAGTATGTAAATTTAATGTAAATTGAAACAAAAGTTCAGCTGAGGTCTCGAGGTAGATCATGTAGTTAGGGGTGAAAGAAGGGAGGTGATACATTTTACGGATAAAATAGCGTTGTAGGGATTCAATTGTTTGAATGAAGATATACCTCATTTAACTTATTTAATTCATTAGATTTCGTGGTCCGATTGACCAAATAACATCTTTCAATTAATTAATCTTTATGGAAGGTATGGGTTGAGTTGAGGTGGGAGGTTGGTGTCCGAGTGGGTCGAAGTCACGATAGCTCAAGTGATAGAGCAGCGGCGTATTTAGCTGAAGGTCGTGGGTTCGAATCCCGTTCGTGACACTAACTTTTTCATTTCTACCAAAACCTTACATAAAAATGTTAATTAATTGAAAGTAGTGTTTGTTAGTGTAAATTTCTGGACTTCTCACCTTCTCATCTCAGATGTATTTGTTTTATACCGGCATATCGTCAGAATAATTTTTTTTCCTACAACTAATTCTGTCGGTAACTTAAGAATAAAAAAAATTATTAATAAATCGACTAATTTCACATTTTAGTTTAACTGGACCACCAGTTGGAAAAAAAGATACATATCAATTTAATTTTTGGTACAAACGAACGACAAATGGCCCAAACGGGCGGATCGGCCACTTGAATTTAATTTTCTGAACTGTATTTATAAAAACGTCGGTTACAGTAAAAAGCTTTTAAGGAAGCTTAGGAATTTTACAACGGCGTGGATCATTAGCATCGAACCTGTCGATACCCCGGGGGTTATAGCATAATGTCCCGGAGGACTTATGTTTATGTTACGACACTATTTGTTAAAATTACTACTACTAAATGCACCACTTGATTTTATAGCCTTTATTATATAAACTGATGAGGCAATTCGAATTATTTTTTTGTAAATTTTTTAAACAAAATTTCTGCGTCATGTAATTCTATCGTATCAAAAACATTATATGATATAGGGTGTTTACAAGACCGTCGTATACTTTTAACCCTGTTATTGCTATTTTGGTCAAATTTCCTCCTAGGTGGATTTTTAAAATGAAATTTTCAATTTTTTTACACTCTTAGTGGGCGTAATTTTATGGACTTTTCCACCCGGGGAAAACCTAGATCCAAATCGTAGACAAGTGTGAACTTAATGTACAATTAAGTACCAATAGCTTTGTTTTATAAAAGAATTGTCAGGGTAACTATCACAATATGACAAAAGACAACAGTTGTAAAATGAAGTGATATTTTAACAAACATAATTAGAGGTGAACAGAAATCATGTCGAGTTATAAGAAATTATTTTCCGTTTTATTAAATTGATTCAAAAATGAAATAAGAACGAAGCCGAAGAAAAAGGGCGATCAGAGAGAAATTGTCTGATAAATGATGTCGTGGTGGTCACCGTAGGGGCGTATATATCCACTTCGTCAACGGAGATTGCGTGCCGTCTAAGAATAGAAAAAGCCCAATGCAAATTACTCTGTACAAAATTGAGTACTTTTAGACCTGAAAAGAAAATATCCAAGAATAGCCTTGTTATTAGAGGCAAAACGTGATAACGGCCTTTCGTCATGGAAACTGCACGTCAACTAGAATTTACAAAAAAATTTCCACTTGAAATTTCACCTTTAAGCTTTTGTCGTACATACATGACATGAAGAAAAGCTTAATAGATCCCATCTCGTCATTTTTATGAAGTGCCAAAAGCCTATTACTTCATTCGCCTTTTATTTTCAAATTTGTTTGAGTGATAGTTTTAAGTGATGTTGATAGGACTAGGATCATTGTTTGAAGATGTGAAGATAGACGAAGTCAAGCGTATTTGGCCAAGGTGCTTTACGTTCCCAACACAACTGTCCGAATGGTCTTCCATCTCTACCAAGATACTAGAGGTTACTCAAGAAGACCGTGGAATTAACTCATTGGACATAAACAATCCAAGAACCTTTTGGCGAAAAAAGCTACAGAATGCATCAAAACAAAGGAAGCAGAAGTGACACCAACACACCTACTAACAAACTGTGGCACAATATTTGAATATATCCCCCGCAACATTTTTACTCCGGAAAAGCTATTGGTGTTATGTTTGGAGCAGGCATTTCTTTGGACGGTCGCACTAACATGATATTCATCGAGGGTTCCCTAACATCTGCGCGATACATCGAAGATGTGTTATTAGAAGAAGTTGTTGCTTATATGCAATTAATTGCGACCGTTTTATTTTTATGCATGATACCCCATACAGCTAGGGTCGTTGTTGACAACTTGGAACGGGCTTCAATTCAATTGGAGTGGCTACCTAAACCATATCGAATACCTTTGGGACGAGTTGTCAAAAAAGGTAAAAGTCGCCCGTTGATGCCAGAGTATTAGTAGGAATTAAGAATAGCGCTGTTAGTGGAGTATGAAAATATGTAACATTACATCCAAAACCTTATATAATCGATGGCACGCCGAATGCAAGAAACAGTCAACGCAAGAGGAGGACATACTCAGTACTGAATTGAAAGTTGTGTTCATTATTTTCATGTTAATAACAACGTTTTTTGGTAAAATGGTTTTACTCACTTTTAATTTTTTATTTATTTTTGTTTTATTTAGGGATATATTCTAGTTTTATATAAAAATATCCAGTAAAGCAAACAATAAAACTATAACGATTGCAAATTGCAATTGCAATTTTTTTACTGAGAAAAACTAGGTCGGCTACTAATTTTATTCTCAGTATATATTTTTCCTTTGTTTCTCCATTTTCCCTCTCTAGTCTTCAACTTTTTCTCTCCTTTTCTTTTGTTCTTTATCTTTCTTTATCTCACTTCCCTAATTTTTTAATATTTCTTTATGAATGATGATTTTTATCTCTTTTACTCTTTTTTTCTCTCTGATAACACTCTTTTACATAACATTTGTACACAATTTGCGTGGTTATTTTCCAATTCCATCCTAATTGTGTGTAAAAATACATATTTTCTATTTGGAACGTTGGAATCAAGTAACGTGCAAGGAAAGAACAAGAAACAGTAAGAAATTTTTTTATTATTTACAAAACTTTACGTTGCTTTTTTAAAACGAATTTATAACTCTCAAATCACCCATTCCTAGGTCTCTCCCTCTCTTTCTCTCTCACTCTCTCTCTCTCTCACTCTCTCTCTCTCTCTCTCTCTCTCTCTCTGTAATTATTTTCTCGCTCCTCTCACATCTAATTTTTTCTCTTTCTGCTGTCTATTTCTTCGAACCACTTTGTACCACTCTATCTCTTTTTCTGTTTTAGTTTCATATTGCTGTCACTCTCTTCTATATCTTTTATTTCTCTTTTTTACTTTCTTTCTTACTCTCTCCTGTTTTTCTTCTCTAGGTTTTACCACTATTTCACTTTCTCTTCCTTCTCTAGTATTTCCTTCTCTCTGTAAACACTATCACTAACATGTTTACTTAATGTTTGTACATAGTTTGCATACTTATGTGCATAAAAACATATTTTATATTTCGTACTTTCGAGTCAAGCTATGTTCGAACTGAAACAAAACTTGTGAATTTAGAAAAAAACCGGTAACCACTTGCTTGTCATTGGTGCCAATGATCTCAAAAGCCCTAAAGAACGTCGACATAAATATGTAATAAAAATTATATATGCTTATAAAATTGAATTGTGTTCTGCAGGTGCATTCCTCATCCCGTACTTCACCATGTACCTGTTCGGAGGACTTCCCCTCTTCTTCATGGAGCTCGCCCTCGGCCAGTTCCACCGCTCCGGCTGTCTCACAATCTGGAAGAGGATATGCCCCGCGCTCAAGGGTAAGTGAAAATCCAATTTGAGACAATTTAAGACGGTGCTTTCTCAAACACGGGCACAAGAAACAAAAATCAAGATTTAATCCATCAAAGACGCCGACAGACAATGACGACTCAAAGTTACACACATCACCCACTGAAGACGGCGAAGTGTCGAAACGCGTCTGACAGACCAAAACGGCGAGGACAGACAGATCAGAATAATCGGAAACGACCATATTGCCTAATACGAAATACAAGCCCCCAGTAACATATCATTTTCAGCACAAAATAATTCAACCAGGTTTATTGCTTCGATTTCATTTTTGAATCGGTTTCCCTTATAATGTGGCGACAGTTAACAAGACATTTTACGAGAAGGGTGTAAACGAGGGCTATTCCCTGTTTTACTGCCTCGTCAGCTTTCTGCGTTTGGTTTTTTGTCGGCGACAGTTTTAATAATATCTTTTCCTCATTTTTCTCCCCTTGTTGCTTCAAACGTAATATCATCGTATTGAACAAACCTACTCTGAATCGTAATTAAAACGCTCACTGCGCAAGGCGATGCTTATTTAACGGGTATTAAACTTACTATATGTTAGAAATCCTCGCCAATAATCGAACTTGGATGGACAGCACCGATGTTATATTATTTAAATGTTACATTTAATAGTTTTCTAGTAGACTTGAACGCAATTAGACAGAAAATTAAGTAGATCTGTTGAGTGACTCTTTAGAGGGGATTTACCTTTCTTTTTACCAGTCTGTCAAAGCTGAGTTTCAGAAGGTGACTTCTAAAGTTCCGTCATTTATCGGACATCCTGACTCTTATAAATTTACCTTTGGGCTAAATATAGCAGTTATTGACAAGCGACTAACATGGAATTGAAATAATCTAGGAACTGATGAGATGGTAAAGTACCCTTGGAGGTAGGTTTAAGTTAGTCTGTTTATCTTGTTTGTATATTTAGAAACGGAACGAAAGGTTAAGTGCTAAAAGAACAAATTATTGTGACTCGATATGGAAGAGAGAAAAAAATGGGCGACGTATTCACATTAATTATACATTTTTTCCTATCCTGTTCTTATATATAAAAACGGATCAAAAGTTTATGTGCTAAAAGAACAAATCTTTGTAACTAGATCTAGAAAAAGGAAAAACGGGCGACTTATCCACATTTATTATAAGATTTTTTCTATCTTGCTCTTATATGTGAAAACGTATGTAGCTAAAAAGAACCTATCCTTGTGACTCGAAGTGGTAAAGAAAAAATGGGCGAATTCTCCACTCTATTTACTTTCTTTGTTTGTTTCTATCTTGTTGTTATATTTTTATAAAAACGGATCAGGGATAAGAAAAAAACTCATTTTCTTCCCTAAGCTTTGAGGAATAATTCCCCTTAATCAAAACCTAAAAACTATCACAAATGATTTAAATTTTTAACATATGTAAAAATCTACTTACAATACTCGAAATTCATCTATCTTGTTCAGTATTGCTTGTTACTCACCAAAGAGGGTAGTAATATTCAATTACAAAAAATATCCCTGTCAAAAATCAATTTTAAATCTAAGATTAAACATATTTTTATTAAGCAATAACAAAAAAAAGAATTTTATACAAAATGTTTAATCTTTTGAAATTTTACAAGCCGGTAGCTAAGACTTTTTCCAGTCTCAACGGAAAGGTGAAACGCGTCGAACCGAACTGCAACATCTGCTTTGACTTATTTCCACTTGGATTCTCTTCAATTTACTTGCATAACTTCTGCACGTTTAATACAACTTGGAACCATCTTTGTGTTCACGGAGTGCACGGGGTGACTACTGTTAAAGGGGCCGAGCTTGGTGCGAGCGTCCTTTGACTTCTGCCCTGCACGAAAAATCCAATACACTTCAAAGGGATGTCCGCCATTTAACCGCGTACGTTTCACTCTATCCACCCACACACGGACGGCTTTTAATTTGTCTGATTTCTTTCCTCTAAGTCAAACTGCGATTGGCTAGAAACTTTTCGCTAGGACGAGCGTAGGTCGATTCAAAGATTGCCGACCTACGAAATGAAATAGCTCAAATTGATCTATGTGGAGGTCTGGAAATATCCCGGGGTTTTGAACATTAATTAAAACCACCTCTTTTAATAACACAAATTGAAAATGTCGTTTAACCTTTTTGTTGTCCGCCCTTCCGGCTAGAATCCGGGAATCTTTTTCGAAATAATCGAGAGCATTCTGTCAGGATTTCTTTTAGCAAATGCAATTACTTAATTAATGGGATCCGATGAAAGAACAATCAAGAATCGATTGAATTTTTCTTTGTGATGTAACCAATTTGTCATTATCTTTCTCACCCCATTGAAACCAAATTTCTAAATTTTTTTAAATGTTAATATTGTAACGGAAAATATAGTGCAAGAAACAAATAGCGGTTATAACCATATTTATCATGGTAACGTGACTAAGCCACTGAATAAAGTGAATGAAAACTTTTGCTACATTTTCCCTCCCATTTAATTACTTTAATGCTCTGAAGACACTTTATCTCAGGGAGTTGCTGCGCTTAGGAATTTAACTTTTGAAAATGAAGCCAATAATAAAAAGAGACTTAAAAATTAAACTACAATATTAGCTCTTCTACTTCTAGATTTGGCAATACGTATGATGATACTCCTTGGACGCACTGACCCATCCAGGTACAAGATATATCTTTGGAAACAATCAAAAAATCCTAAATTTAAATTTACATCAGAAAATGAAAAATTTGTTCTATACCATTGGAACTGAAAAGAGAGTAAAGTCAAGTTCAAATGCAGTACCTCACGTTTATCTTAAATGACACACGTAGGTACCTCAAAAGTAAGCCTTTATAATTGCCTTCATTAAAATCCCATCCCCATCATATAAACATTGAGTTTTATAAAAGTTGCTAAAATTTTTTTTGAAAAAACCAGCGCGGGAAAACAGATGCCTATACAAATTCTTGTTTTTACGGCATACGCATTTGATCTTTTCTTATTACACGACCGAGATCCCCGGGGGGCGTCGGGACTTTACGACAAGAAAAGCCGGGAGTACGTTACCAGTGAATTTCCAAGGTTTATTGATTGTGGACAAGACAAAGACTATGTTTTCCTTTTTGTCTCTTTCTCTATCCTTCATGACTAATAGCTCTAGGTTGACTACGTAAATTACGTGTTGCAAGAATGGATCGATCGCTTAAAAAAGAACGAATCGCCTTCATAGGAATACTACATCTATTTCACATCAGTGACTCTTATATGAATTAATAGACAAATATATAATTTAAAAACGATCAAAGAGAGGGAAAGGGCAAGAAAGTAAGAAAAAAGAAAAAGGGAATGATAGTGATGGAAAGATGTGTTTTTGAGTAATAGGTAAAGCTCGGAAGTTGTTACGTTGAGACAGAACATAGAGATAAATAGATAGAAAAAGAAACAGAGCATGTGAGAGTAAAATAAAGAAAGAAACAAAGAGGGAGAAAGAAATTTAAAACATAGAGGTAAAGCTAGAGAAAATAAAGAGAGAAGAGAGAGATAGAAATGGAAAGAAAGCTAAAAACGAAAAAGAGATTAAGCTAGAGAAAAGGAAGATAGTCGAAGAAAAAGAGACAAGAAAGAGAGAAAACTACATGGGTGAGGGAGTGGAGAAGAGAGCGAAACAGAGAGAAAGAGAGAGAGAGAGAGAGAGAGAGAGAGAGAGAGAAAGAGTGAGGGAGTGAGAGAAAAAGCGAGAGTTGTCGATCGATTGATATGACTGAATGAATGAAAAACTGTTACATTGACAGGCAAAAATTTCGCCCACTTGTAATATAACTTGATTTGTATAATTAAAGTTTCACGTTTTTTAACATTTAATAATTGAGTTTTTGTCTAAAAATGTAAAAAAAGTAAATTGATAAGGAAAATTAACAAATAAGATAAAATTTGTATTAATTTTGTTTTGGATTTTTAATTAACAGTTCAATATAGCGTATTTTCTCTTCTTGCCTTAATTACAGCTCAAGGCATACTTTCTACCAGTCTGGAAATGTCCCTTTGCTGGAGGTTAGTCCATTCTTCGCAAAGTGACCTTTCAAGATCGTGGAGTGTATAAGGAAGTGATGGACGTGCTCATATTCTTTTGAGATTATTCGATAAATGTACGATGAGGTTTAAGTCTGAAGAACGGGCTGGCCAGGCTAAGACCCTGATGTTATGCTGTTGAAGGTACGTTTGTACTATGCGAGCGACATGTGGGCGGGCATTCTCTTGCATTAGAATAGGAATGTCGCTGATTTCATCGAGGATAGGCAACGCGAGATGTTCCAAAATTTCATCCACATAGCGAGTGGCCCTCAAAGACCTTCCTTGAAAAATAACCAACTCTATGCAAGCCTGCATAGATATTCCCGCCCACACCATCACTGAGCTACGTTGACTCTGGGAAAAATTACAAGCTTCGTACCTTTCATTTCGCTTTCTCTACGCTCTTTCACGCTCATCTAGAGATGGTAGAACAAATCTACATTCACTCATTTGTAAAAAGTACAGCAGATCAATCGTTCAATGGCTGTGTTCTCGAGCAAATGCCAGCCGTGCAATCGGTGTGCTCTGGTCAATTATGGTGGGCGAAAAGCCATCAGTCCATACTGACATAATCTTCTTCGAGCAGTGCGTTCAGAAATTAGGACACCTCGAACTTCCTGACAGAACAGCTGATGGTTCGCTTGAACAACAGTACGGTGCCGGCTTCACAAAATTCTCAAAGTCAAAAAACGGTCATCCTGTGGTTCTGCTACCCAAGGGCGTCCAGAATCGGGCCTTCTATGGTAGGACCCAATTTCTCAAAAACGTCTAAAGGCGTCTCGTACCTAGGTGAAGCAAGCGTATCTCTCCCAGAATTGAACACTCCGCCAAGAAAGGAAAATCACATTCGAGGGCATGCGATTTGTAAAACGAACAGAAGCTCTGTTCAGCTGAAAAACCTCGCTGCTCATTTTTAAAAGCCAACGCAGCTCAACCAAAG